TCAAATGGAAATTTTTTTAAAAAATAAAATAAAAAGGACCTTGGAGATTTTCATTTTATAGCTAAGAGAACTGGGAGGTTGAGTCTTATGCATGGTTATCGTGCTTATGGCAAAGGAGGAATCAGAAGCCAAGATGTGAGTTCCTGGTCTAGTGCTAGCATCAGCTGTCTCTAGCTTTCTCAGTGCTGTATCTTCTCCAGCTGAAAAATCTATAAATATCCTTTAAATATCATAAATATCCCTTAAAAATTTTTCTTTTAGAAACATCCTTTTAAAAAAGGCTATTTTAAAAGCAAAATTAAGAGAAAACTGAAAGTTGTCTAAAACACTCACAGTAGATCTCCACCTGGATTTGTTTCTCCCGTTTCTCAGATCCACAAGTTGCTGTGCACAGGTAAGAGTGTTCATTCTGCAAACTGACAGGATCCATGATCAGCACGGACCTGGTCCCTTCAGTCCTCACCTCCCCGTTCAGTGGACTGTCCATCTGCGTTCTCCAAGAGAAAAATGGAGATTCACAGCCTATGGTGTTGCAAATCAATGAGATGGAGTCACCAATCTGAGCAAGAGTTCTGGATTCAGGGGAGGTCTCGATTTTAAAATCTTGAGCTGCAAAAGCAAAAAAGAGAAAAGAGGGCTTACCACTGGTTTGACTAGCATTCTACTCCCTCTGCTCTGTTCTAGTATAACATCCAAAATACGATCTGTCTGATTTCTTTCTTAAACTGCTTCAAGCCAATTACAAGGCACCCTAAAAGCACTGAAGTCACAGCCAAAGAAGGTGTTGGAATCATCTTCACTTAGGAGAACTCTCAGTTCCAACCTTGATGCCCACATATCAAAGGTGTTTTGTTATCTGCTGAGTTTGATCTCATTATCAAGTACAAGAAACTAAACAGATAACATTACTAGAGATAAAAATCCAAATTACTCATTTGACATTGAGAAAAAGGTATCAGAAAACATCAACTTCCAGCTCTAACTATGACAGTATAATGGTATATAGCAAAACTCAATAGCACATTAAAAGTTAGGTTAAATAAGTTTTGCCCTGTTTAAAATCCTAATGTCTTTCTTCACTACCATAGCAAAACTCCCTGAAGCCAAAACCAGGGTTAAAATGGAATGCTAGCATATAAAACAAATCAAGGAGAGGAACTTACAAGCTGCAAACACTATCCAAAGTATATTTGAGGCTCCAAAGATCACGACTATCTTCCCAGACATTTTAAGTTGCTGCCGTGAAGAGAAAATAATGGCTCCAAAACTCTTAGGTCTGCTCCACCTGAGAGTGCCTGGAAAGAGTCTTCAGCTCCTAAAGCCAGCAAGACTCAGTGAGGAGTGAAATGGAAAGTCTGCTCTTTATAAAGGGTCTTGTTACAGAGGCGGAGGGAAATCCCTTCAAGGGGAAACCCAGAGCAGAGCCAGGGAAAAAAGTTTAACTGACAGCCAGCCAAGTCCCAGTATTAACCCTTCCAGTTGCTCTTAGGACTGAAACTACTCTCTCTGTCCTGGAAAAAAAAGACACTTCCAAGACTATAAATTGCAGACTTTTTCTGCTCTTCAACTCCAAAAGGATATATTTGCTAGAAAGATACAAGACAATACTCATTGCAGAGCGAAGCTTCCTGAATCCAATGGATGAGAAAGAGAGAATGATAAATTATACTGTAGTTTTTGAACTGGACAAATAACTACTATGTCATGTGAACTGATTTTCTCCATGAAGAAAATATATTTGCAATTCTAAAATAGAGATAAAATTTTCTCTTACAAGAAAAAGGAAAAGGTCTTTCTTTTGATGAGTCATTTTTTAAAAGGGAGACAGCATAGCTTTTGTTTTATATTTTTATTCATAAATAGTTCCTTTAACAACAAACATCAACTTCCTGAATTGATTTTCTTGAGTGGAAAGTAAGGAAATGTAACTGAATTGTAACTGAGTATTGCTTCCAAAACAAGAGAAATGATTTTTCTCTTTTGTTTCAGAAAAGTTGCCAACATTTTGGTTCAATTGCTGGATAATTGGAAGTCTTTAGCAGATGTATGTGATCCATCTAAAGTGGTAAATCTCTTGGACTGTGGGATTTAACCACAAACCCAGTTAAACATGAAAATTAACTTGTTTTTGTTATTGGGGAGGGGACGATAATCAATTTTATGTTATTTTCCCCCCAGTGAAATTACTTTTTTTAAGTTCTCAATTAGCTGGCTGTTTTAGCATTACACACACATAGCTCAAGTCCTTACAAAATGCTTGCCCATCAAAAAGAAACCGGAATAGCCACTTCCTTGTATTATACACATTCTACCTCCCCCACTGGACCAGTTCTGGTTAATCACTGCATCTACTTCTATAAAATGCATGGTTTTGCTCTTAGTGCATACCAAAAAAAAGTACAATAATAAATACTGAATAATTTTCCGTGGAAAAATGCGGAAAAAGAAACTTCCAAAATACTAGAAATAATATGTAAATACTCCATGAAAGAAATGTTAAATTCTATTTAAAAATTCCAAAGCTCACAGACTCATGAGTATGTGCACAATAAACAGCACTGTGCTATGTGACCAAGGCCATCACTGAGGTCTGGAATCCACAACTGTCCCTACATGTTGGAGAGGCTTCTGGACCTACTCTTGGATACTGATTTGGCTCCCACTAAGGGACAAAGAGAGAAAAAGTGGGAGAAGCTATTCTAGGGCTGTGGTGATATGTAAATATGGCTTCACCTAGGGATCAGAAAAGTGGATTCAGGCAAAATTAGCTGATGAACAAGTAACCTGGATGGCTTTTAACAATGTTCATGCTGTGGCAGAAAACTATCACCACCGTTACTATCACTTAATTTCAGAATAGATCAAAAGGATATTATGGAGTTTTAATACATTTCTCTGAGGCTCAAAGACAAATGACCAACAGGACCCAAAATGGGGTCACTATGACCACATCATAGTAAAGTACTTCAGTTCCAAAGTTTGCTTATGATTCCAAGCTTAGAACACTGGAGAAATACCTAATCTATTGATTTAACCCATAGTGGTCTCAGCAG